TATTATAACTAACCCCATCACATAACAAATGAAAAAAAAAAATAAACGTTTGTTTCTTTATTGACTTCTTGACGTGAAATACATTTTTTCTTGTTTACAATTTCTTCTTTCGACTTTTCTCTTCAAAGACCGATTCTGAATGGCACCAACAAATGGCAGGAAAAGGCAGATATTTTCGGGCGAATTTTATCGAGCACTATTCATCGCGGTTTTTGGAAAACACATCCAAATAAAAACACAAGTATCAATAAAAAATCAGGGCTTAGATTAAAAATAGATTTATTAACGAATCTCCGGTAAGTTTATTTATAGATTTGAATAGAAAGAGAAAACCAAAATAAGTTAAAAAAACAAAAACAAAAAAAAAAAACAAATAAAGGTTCAATTTAGGTGGGGGATAGAAAGAAGAATTTTCCTTGGACTGCATAGAGTTAAGTATTTTATTTCTTTCTTTTGGGCATCGAAAATTGGAAGTCTGGGATGGTTTTGAAAAACACAAGAAGTCGGGAAAGAGGAAAAAAGTTTGGGTAGAGGTCGGGGGGGGGTTGTAGAAAAAATAAAGAAAAGATAAAAAAATAATTTAGGGGAGGAGGAAGTGAAGCTAAGATTTGGAGGGGGAGAGGGTCTGTGAGAATGAAAGTATTTTATCAGTAATATTATTTCATCTTTTTTTTAATTGTTATTAATGATGATGATGATATCGTTAGATTTGCTTTTCCTGTTGTTTTTATCTTAAATTTTAATAAAAATAATTTCATGATGATGATGATGATGAATGATCCGGTTGTTGTTGTTGTTACGAGTCCATTTTTTTTTGGTCCCTTCCGGATATCATCTTCCGTCTGGAATTGACGGGCCGCTCCCTTTCATATCCAATCTACCCATTCAGTCTGGAACCAAGAGATAACGGTTTTAGAAATTCCCTTTCATCTGTCTCTTTTTTTCTTGTCTCCAGTTCCCCGCCAATGTCAGTCTTAAAAAAGAATCCTTCCTTTCTTTGAGGCATGAATGTCCACATCCAATTCCTCAGTCGATCTTCGAATTTTGCCCTAAAATCTTAAAAAGGAAATGAAATATTGAACCGTTATCGGAATCTCTCTTCAACAGATTCTATGGCCACGCCTAAAGCAACACCTTAAACACCTATTTGGAATTTCCCTCAGAAATCTTCGCATAAAAAATACCGATTCTTTCTTCTCTTTTACAAATTCTTCACATGCTCCCCACCACTGTGCTGCTACCACAAACATTTTTTTTATTGTCTTCCGTTCCTTGACAATTCCAAACTTAAATGCCTTTAAACAAAATAAAACTAAAATTTCCTTCGGGGCAGCGAAGAATGAAAATCAGAATTTGGAAAATTAAAGTTTTTGATTTTTGCTCCGCGAAAGAGAAAGAAAGGAAATATGAAGAAAAAAATAAAACAACGGGGGAAAAAAAGAGAAAGAAAGAACAGGGAAAGAGAAAATATTTCTATAATTATTTAACATATGTTGTTATCCTATAAAAAAAAAACACCCCAAAAAAAAACAAACAATTTTAAGGTAAAAATTTAAAAAAAATTCATCAGTAAAAATAAATTTTATTTATTTACATAAATTAAAAAAAAATGTCTTTTTACATCCTGGTCAGCCCGATTCGATAAGTGGTCTTCCTCACGCTGGCCGGTACTGGCGCCGGTCAACTGGTGGTTATCTGTTGACCGCTTCTTTTCTTCATCTGCTCTGCCCCACGTTGTGTTTGATCACAGTGTAGTGAAGATCAAATTTAGAATTGAAAGAACCGTGCTATGAAAACCAAAGGACAAGACTACTTCCGATGGTGAAAGTATAAATCATAATAAATCATGAAGAAAGTCCCTGAGTTAATTTTCAAATGGTTTTATATAATTGTTGTTCTACAAAATTAACCTTTCCCCTGGAATCTAGTGACAAAGGATCTTCTGTTTCTACAAATGGAGCAGGCTAGTCATTACAACGCGGAATTATCTCGGTCAGGAATTCAAGCCATCAGTTCTCCACGTTAGCAATACTCTTCGACAGCAAGTTACGTGGCTTCTTCCGAAGTCTCATGGCCCATCGCCGGGCTCGAACGCTCAAATGTGACTTCTCCAACTCACTGCTTCAAGTAGCCAATGGTTCATATGTATTTCACTCCATTCCGACCACACCTCCAAATTCATTAATATTTATCAATTTCATTATTTCCTCTAACCTCGGAATCATGACCTCAACCCTAACACAACGCGGTCTAGTATCCAAAAACAATAAACTTTCTTCTTACATTACTTTACGAAACAATTATTATTTAAGTTATATTTTTTTTGTATATAAAAAGTTATTCTACATCAGAAAAGAAATCGTTTATTTTGCCAAACAATAATTTAATGCCAATAAATTTGATTGCAAATCATCGATTTCTTCTGCTTGTTGATTTACCAAAACCTGTTCTTAAGAAATTCTTTTATCTATTTTCAAAAAATATACCAATTTATTTACATTTCCAATAGGAACAAAATATTACCTGCGAAAACCGGAAGTTTTATCAAATCAAAATCATTTTGGCTATTAAATGATTTTCTGCAATAATAATAAAATAAATAAAATCATACTTCATAATTATTTTCCCGACCTCATATCGCTTAATTATTTTTCAGCCGTTCCTATGCTCAAAAACAATGAACAGCACAAAAAACATATCAAGGCAGTGTTTCAGAAGATTGACGAATATGGCTTCAGGGCTAAGTTCAGATAAATGCGAGTTCTTCATGAAGCAGATCAAATATTTGTGGCAAATAATTGACGAAAACGGAAGAAGACCAAACACGGAAAGAACCGAAGCTATTAAAAATATGCCACCCTCAAAGAACGTCACTAATCTTCAGGCGTTTTTTAAGTTTGTCCAACTATTACAGTATCTACATTCCCAAAATGTATGATCTGAGAGCCCCACTGAATGACTTATTGAAGAAATGGTGCCAAATGGATTTGGTCTAAACAATGTGAAGATGCTTTCCAGAAAATTTTCTGGTATCAAATTAATCATTAGCGCATTTTGACCCCAAAAAAGAAATAATTGCAGCATCTGACGCTATCAGCTATGGAATCGGAGCGATAATTCTCCACAAGTTTCAAGATGGGACCACAAAACCCATAGCCCATGCTTCCAGAACCCTACTTCCTGCAGAAAGAAATTATAACCAAATCGAGAAAAAAAGCCTGGTCATAATCTACTCGGTTAAAAAATTTCACAGGTCTCATCAATGGAAGAAAATTTACATTACAGACGGATCATAGACCGTTGTTAACAATTTTTGGATCAAGAAAGGGTATAGCCACGCCCACTGCTAACAGGTTACAGAGTTGGGGAATAATCTTTTTGAGTTACAACTTTAAGATGGAATACCTACCCTCGAAAAAAACTAGGATACGCCGACGGTTTGTCTAGATTGATTCCAGAATTTGCAGAACCGTTAGAAGACACGGTGATAGCTGCTTTAATGGATGAAAAAGAATTATCAGTATTACTATGTAATACAATTCGGGAGTTACCGGTGATTCTAGAAGATATAAAAAAAAAGCAGCTGAGAAGGACGAATTCATTAAAAACAAATGAAGAAACAGGTATGGCTTTAAGAAAAACTTAAAAAAGGTTTTCAAATATCACCTTTCTCAATCTGCCAGCAAGTGCTACTATAAAAACTGGTGAGACGGAAAATTACTAGGAAATAAGAGGAAAAAAAGTCAAATAGTTATGTCCTGATTCCCCGCAAAATAAAAGCTATTGAGCAAAATTTCATGGGAAAATTAGCTCAGGGGAGGTGTTGTAATGGAATGTTCCACTCTCCCTATTACCTATTGTGGACTTGACTATATCAGTAAATATATGTAATGTGCACAGGACATACCAGAATCTGTCTATCTGACTGGCTTCGGGAAGTGTTAGTTGATTTCCTGTCTTTCAGTAGTGTATTCTCTTTTAGAAAAAAACTCTCTTTCTTTCATTTACCCCCGTTCCTTCCACTCGAGTACCACCTTTGTCTGTTTGTAACCTTTTTGGCAGATACAGCACACACACACACACACACACACACACATATATGTAACATGAATACGAATGGAGTATAATTCAACTGTACGTAACATTTAATTTAAAGGAAGGCTCAGTACAGAGTAGAGATAAACATTATTTATTTTAGGATATTAAAACAAAAACATGTTAAAAATCGCTACATAATTAAAATGATATTTCAACACCACAAATGTGTCTCCTCGGGCGATGTTAAACTACTGGCGAGTGAACGATTAATTTAATTTCAAAAGCAGAATACTTTCTCTTAAAAAAAAAAAAAAAATAGGCTTGTGAGCTTTACCATGATAAACCAATCGAATGTGACCTATGCTAAATTCAAACACCGAAAAAATAAATTTAATATAGGTCATGACATGATTTTGTCTGCATATAAAACCTCGACAATTTACTTATGGACAGATACAAGTTTACATCATTTGTAAGATGTATAGAAGTCTGACGTTCAATTTTCTTTAAAGACTTAGGGAGATAATTTAACATACGTACGCAATACAGTTTATATTTTTATCCAAAATTCTATTAACAACCAAAAATGACATTACTCGTTTTACATTCAACCAATTTCTTGTATTCTTGTTGTTATATAAAATTAATGTTATTTGTTAATATCACGTTGTCTTTTCTTACTGGATTTGATTCTTTCAATGAAAGTCGTTGGATTATTGTAAAAGGCCGAATTACGAGCTGTCCCAGAAAAAATATTTTATGTTATTTTATCGAATCCCGAAACTCCGAATTTTAACATTTAACAAAAAGCCGAGTAAAAGGATTTCTACAATGTATATGAATTGTTTGTGTCTTTAATATTATTTCCTTTATTGTGAACAAAACAAAACACTTTACATATTTATCTCTTTGTCCTGGATTTCATGTTAGCTAGTTAAGTAGATGTTCATTGTATATAATTATTAAAGAGAGAGAGAGAGAGAGAGAGAGAGGGAGGGAGAGAGAGAGAGAGAGAGAGAGGTATGCAGACATACAGCCAACAAGTAGATACACATTGTATTTAAAGATATGGCGCTCCCACATATTTCTGCTCTGCTTGGGTGTGCCTTTATGGATAGAGAGGCATTTTTTTCTCTCTCTGCTCCTCTGAGTACAATTTTCTGTCCCTGTCTTTACATGTCATTTATTTCTCTTCTCTTCATCTAATCGAGAAAATATATATATTGTTTATATAACCAATTACTCCATTTCTTTTTTCACATCCTGCCAGCGTTTACATAATGGAATCATTAAAGTGAAGAGACAATGGAGGTATTTCAATCATTTATATCCTGAGCAGGATTTATTACATCCTGCTTGAAAGTGCGTGTGTGTAATGGGGGGGGGTATCGTGCTTCAGATCGTATTTTGAATAAAACATATCAAGATAAATTGATAAAGAAATGCATTTCTCTTGTTAGGAAACATTTATACAGTATCACGGATCAAACAAGATACTTTCAAACAGATCAAATTTCGGCAAAACAAGCAATGCGAAAACAATTAAAGTAAATATTGTAGCAAGCTAAAGATTCATTGGTCGAACCAGAGTAGAGATAATATTTATAAGACTCATCTATTATTTTGGGGGTGAATTTGTCTCTTTGTCGAGATGTAATATATATATATATATATATATATATATATATATATATATATATATATATCGTACAAATCAACCTGAACAGGATGCAGAGTTTATTTTACTGCATAGTTTACTTGCTGTTTCGGCATTTTATACATTTTATTTGACTCTAATTAAACTTTATAATTTTTTTTACATTTTTCTATTCGACTGTATTGAAATCAATTTAAAATTCAATGATTATTCATTGTATATTAGACTAAAACACACTTTACATTACATAGAGTTTAAACGAAACAATCTCAGTATTGTCACATTTTACTTATGTTTAATTCCACCAGCCATCCACTAAGTTTACATTTATACTTATAATCACAAAACAAACGAGGGAGAGAGAGAGAGGGAGGGAGTGGAGAGGGAAAGAGGGATACAGAAGAAGGAGAGAGAGGGAGAGAAAGAGGGAGAGAGAGACAAAGAGAGAGAGAGTTTTTCCGTAAGTGAATCCGAACTAAAATATCCCCGTACTCCTAATATTGAGTCCAAATTAAATAATCCTTGTTTTCGTTTGTCCTTTCTTTAAACTTTTCCATTTGCCGTAGAAGAAGGATTCGTCTTGAGATTCTCTCATTCCATTTCTGTGTTCAATTTTGTCCAAAGAGGTCATTGCATTGAAATGCCCTTCCCCATAAATGTGGGTGGTGGTAGTTGATTAGCCACAAGCTCCGTCCCCGACTGAACAGAAAGCCAACTTGGGGACCCTGAATCTTCACATAGTGTCTTTTACTTTGCTTTAAATTCTCATGTTTGTCCATTGTATCAAGCAAATGACACCGTACCATTTTGTGAACTGCACAGATAAGGATGTTTTACAAAAGGTTTTGATCAATGCCCACTGAGATTGGCAACAACTTGAAGACAATAAAATATTTCGGAAAAGAAGAAAACTGGAAGAACATGTTGAAAAAAAAAAAAAAGAGAGAAAGCAACAATAATTTTGAAGCGAAGGAGACAAGATTCAAAATTCAAAGTCGCTTTTTACTTTGCTGATTTAGACATGACGATAGAATCTGTTGAAAAATGATTCCAACAGCGACAACAATTCATTATTCCATTTCATCTTTGATATTTTATAGTGGAAAAAACACATTTGTACATCGATATAAGGAAGGACTGTAAAACTTTGAGAACAAAAATTATCAGTGGAATCAAGGAATTCGTGAAATTTGGAATCGGCAAACCGCATTCAAATTGCGGCCTCGCCTGTTGTCGTCACTTCCACTTGAAAAAGGCATGAACCCAAGTTGCACAATATCGATCGACGAAAACTTTTACATTTTTCTCCCTTCTTAAAATCTCAGCAATCATTATCGATTAATTACATTTGACGTTGTCTATATTCGGACGGGTTTTTTACAATTCATAATCAGTTTTGTGAAACTTCGAGAGAATATTCGTAAGGATGTGGCACCAGGAAGATTTATTTAGGATGAGAAAAAAAAAGAAAGAATATTTTCGTGGAATGAGAATGATGAGGAGGTGTGAGTGAACTAATAGCGTGGAGAATAAACACTGGAGGGTTGAGTTCAGATTTTGGCTTTTTGTGTTTCATTGGGAAAGGCAAGAATGTCTTCTTCCTTTGAGATATGGGATTAAAAAGAATCTTATGTTAGGCTTTGAAGATCTCATTGGCAACCAATCTAGAAGAAGGAAGTCTGAATTCAAAACTGTGCAAAAAGGGAACAGAAAAACAATTCCATTTCTAAAGAACAGACACGACAATGTGCAATTAAGACATTAAAAGTGAAACTGTGAAGGGCCGTAATCAGCCAAGTTCGAACCAGCATCGTTATACAGAATAATGATGGTATAAATAATTCTAAATTGTTTGTAAAATGAATGAGAATCAAATGATGCACCACCTGGAATCAGAACCACAATGAGGATGCACCACACGAAATCAGAAGCCCAATGAGGATGCACTACCCGGAATCAGAAGCCCAATGAGGATGCACCACCCGGAATCAGAACCCCAATGAGGATGCACCAACTGAAATCAGAACCCCAATGAGGATGCACCACTCGTAATCAGAATCCAAATGAGGATGCACCACACGAAATCAGAAGCCCAATGAGGATGCACCACCCGTAATCAGAACCCCAATGAGGATGCACCGCCCATCATTGTGGGTGAATGAAGACTGAGACTGTCGTACCAATAGTAATCAGATCTCTGGGCCTCGTGAGAAAAGGAATGGACAATTTTACTAAGAGTGTCCCAGGTAACATAAACATACAAGTCGCCCAAAAAGTCGCCCTACAAGGAACATCCCATATATTAAGTGCTGTCAATGAAATTCCCCTATAGAGCCAAAAGACGATAGTTTGAACCCGACTCTACAGGATAAAAAAAAAACAGGAGACATAATCACAAACAATAATAATAATAGTAATAATAATTATAAATATAAAAATCCCAAATTGTTTGCAAAATGAGAAACAAATAATATTAATAATAATAACAATGAAAACAAAGAGAATGGCGCGATTTAGGAAAAAAAAGCAATGTATAAAAATATTCCACAATATTTCGACTGTATGTCAGTCTTCTTCAAGTTATAATAAAAACAATTTTTTCACAAAGAATGTATAAATAAATTGCATCAAATTAACATAAAATTTGCCAGGCTTTCCTTTTATTTCTGTACGTTTTATTTCCTGTCAAGTCAAGTTTTTATCTCTGTGAATATGAGGCTCATTTCTGCTGTTATGATATGAGTGAGCATTATAAGTTAAATAAAAATATATTTTATATTTAATTTGAATAAAATGTTTATTTAATGTTTCGTTTATTTTTACATATTTAAAATGTCTTCCTTTCTCATAATGATCAGTTTTAGGCCTGATATGTTTCCCTTCAAAGAGTTGGTCCAGGGCGTCCCCAAACGTCCACAAAACTCTGCACGTCACTCATCATACAAATGTTACGATAGTCATTGAATTCATTAAAATCATTTTTAATATTTTTATTATAAATTTTTATTATAATACATTTATTGTACTTATTGAAGATCCTGGAAAAGTCAAAACAAACTTATGATCCTTGAAATAAAACTTTTACAACAAAAACACAGATGTTTCTAAATAAAAGCAATAATAATTTAAGATGTCACCGCCTCCTCAAATGTATTTATCAACAGACACACAGACATCACGACCGTCGCCTTCATCATAAGACTCTTTGTTTACATCAAAACACTCACCAGTTCTATGAAAGTCACCATTTCTTTCTACCTCCACTGATGATGACTTATCAAAGTTGAAACACTTGAACCATATTTCTCTTATTTTTCTTCCAATCTGAACTTTGGACAATTTCTGACGGAATTCCTTCCTTGTCTATGAAGGATTATTTGTCATTTGGAAAAGTCAATCATTAAAATTAATCAACACAAAATGTCTGTTGTCTTTAATAATATTTGAGTTGAACATTTGTTGCCTAAATCCACAACGTGTGTGTCTGTGTGTGTGTGTGTTTTTTTGGCAAAAGAGAAAAAATTTCTTGCAAGTTGCAAAAATAAATCTGTCCAAATTCATTTCCACAAAAATCGCAAATTTCTTTTTCAGTTTTCAATTTTTGAAGAATTTGATCATTTTTATTAAAGACAAAGATTTCGGCCATTCTTTCACATGTCCCCCACAAATTCCCGGATGTAGGATCAGCACACGAAGGAAAGAGCGAGAATGAGAAGCTGAACCCAGAGATTTTTCAACTTTCACTGTTTCTATTTTTCTTTCCTACTTTAGAAAAAAAAAAAACAATTTCTTCAAAATCTGAATCACAAACAAAAATTTGTTTGTACATTTGACACAAAGAAAAAAGATTTTCATTTTTTTTTACTTTTCTAAAAAATGGTGGACTTTTTTTCGCGCCACAAAAAGAAAAAAGTCTTCCCCGGCGACATAATCAGAAACAACCACGAAAGTCTCCCTCCCTAGAAAATGACAGCCTGTAAAAGATCCACAAACAACCAAAATGTCTTTCGAAAGACAACAAATGTTCCAAGGTAAGAATATCTCTCCTTCGCCCATCAGGGGACATTGGCCGACGAACTCCCCAGTCGGAATGAATTCCTTGATCGATTTATCGCTTCCATCGACAACAAACACGTGACCGTCTTCGTCGCTGTGGCAATCGAATGAATCCACCCCAGGTTCGAATCCTGCTGGCGGAATTCGCTTTCAGGTTCCAATTCCCTTGGGGGGGGCATCTCTCTACATTGAAGTCGACCATTTCTTGTTGAATTTGGTCCAATGATCGTTGGCACCATTCTGGAAAGGTCACTACAAAATGTCCTTCCTCAACAGGAGCAAACGATTTATGGTGCCGCCATGAAAGCTTCGCTCTCAGCGGTTCTACATCACAAACAATGTCCTCATCGACGTTGCAGTCGCCTAACAAATGGCGCAAATCGATGAGCCATTTTTCCGCCTCCTCCAAAAGCTCTTCTTTCTCCTCGAGGGATTGGCGCCATTTGCTCTGTTTTTCGGTCATCTTTCGTCTCATTTGGTTGCACAATTCTTCGGCCTTCATCCGTGCCTCTTCCCTCAGCGCATCAAAATCCTTCCAGACTTTTGAGGAATTCAATTCGCAATCGATTGATAATTGTTTAATCGATTTCCTCGTCCGTTCAATCCTTTCACGGAGCCGCTTTTCGAAATCTTCGACATCTTCCTGCAAGTCGACGAGCCGCTTTTTCGCTTCCTTTATCTCATTCCTCAAAGACGATGAAGCCATTTGTAGATTTCTTTCAGGAAAAATGAAATCTGAAACTGCAAAGACAAAAATATCTTTTTAGAAAAATAAAAAAATGTCAAAGTTCAAAATCATAAAAAGTTGATTTCTAAAAACGAAAATAATGTGACCCGAATTTTTTGGATTTTACAAGAAAAACAAATCGATTTCCTAAAAATTTTAATTTTCTTCTAAAATCACAAATAAAGGCGGGGAGGGGGTTAAGAGAAAAGAGAATGAAATATGAGAGAGTGGGGAACGGCGGAATAGAGAGAGTGAGAGAGAAAAATAAAATATATAGAGAGAGTGGGAGAAGGAAATATAGAATGTGTCGGAGTGATTGAAAAAGTGAGAGAAATCGAAAGAGAGAGTGGTTATCGATGCAGAAGTGAGAGGAGAGTGTCGAGAAGACCAATTTGAGAAAGGGAAGAAAAGAAAAGGTAAAAGTAACAGAGAGAAAAAAACTTCCAATTTGCTGCCTTCACAATCACTTTTAATATTTAGATGTTAATTAAATTGCTTCAGTGTTCCTTTCACCGGACACGCTTTAAGAAATTTAAAAATGGCGGATTTTTATTGTCTGCTTACGAAACGATTCAGTTTTTTTTATAATAACAAAATTGAATCCATCTTAAATAAACTGATCCACTCATTTTTGAAGATTAGCATTTATTAGACTATCAAGCCATTACGATTGACAGAAATAAAAATTGATTTATTTTACAGAAAGGTGATCCTGTTTATAATATAGTTAAAGTGTAAAATCGATCCCTGACTTTTTAAAAATTTTAAATTAATCAAAGTCTGATTCGTTTATTCTTCATTTAAGAGAAATAATTATTCTTCAGTCTGTGAATTGCTTCCGCAACCCCCCAAAAGAAAAAAAGCAAAAAAATATCCAGATATATCTGATGAAGGCAGAGTTTCAAACATAACATTTGTAAATCACAATTTAATTCCAATAATTCTTCCAAAGTTAGGGATCGATTTTACACGATATCATTATTATGAACAAAACCCTCACTTTATAAATCGGAAAAAAATGAATCATTTTTCGATGCTGAAAAATGTCGTCACCGCTTGAAGAAAATCCAATGAATTTTAATCTACAAAAATTAATTCCCTCCCACCAAAAATGTTTTAATAAAAATGGACCAATATATTTAAGTAGTGCCAAGAAGTGAATTAAGTTTTTGGAAATATTACAAATTTCTACAAGCGAAACAAAGAAGGAGGAAGAAAACAAATTCGATGATTGAAAGGAAAGAAATAAGCAGACGACTTAAATAAAAGTCATCTTTAATCTTTTTGATATCATTGAAAAGACTTTATCAGAAATATTAACTAAAAACGGATTTATTTTGCCACAGAATTAAAATCAGACATTTTTTGTAAAATTGTATGAATAGAAAAAATAAAAAGAAATTTAGAAAAACTTTGTCTCTAAATATGAGTTCGGCTAAAAAAAAAAAAGAGAGAAAAAAACAGGAATTCTCGTTGTTTTGATGAAAACATTTGGAAGATTTCGATTATTTGAAAATCGATATGAAAATTCTGACTTAAATTTGATTTCGTTTCGATTTCACTTGAGTGAAATTATTTTTTTTTAAATTTGGGAGACAATATTTATTTCTGTAAAAATACAGAAAATGTGGCACAAGCCCTAAAAAAAGTGGATGGGGAAAAGGACGGTCTTCAACTGTATTAATTTTAAACTTAGCTAGCCACAAGCACTGACCCAATCAAACAAACAATATTCCTAACACCAAAACAACACATTCTTACTAGCCTTTCTTACTACATTCACCATAATACCTCATTGTCTCTATGAAAATCCTAAATAATCCCCATATGTACAAATCGTCGTATGTGGGGTGGGGATAAAACAAAAAATTAAAAAGATCCCCAATGAGTATACACAATATGAATTAATCTATTTTCAAGAAACTAAACAAAATCATTGTTAGTAATAAAAACCCCACAATACTTAAATGTGGCAGAAACATCAGTTCACTGAACGAAATCGATGCGGGACTATAAGAATATAAAAAACATTCATTCAAACCCAAGCACTCACACAGGCATACACACATTCAGACACAACAACAAATACGAAAAACATACACAAAAAAAGAAAGTTGCCCTGCATTCACCAGAGAACTGACATCACTGACCACCTAAAGAGGGAAGGAATGGGGAGTTAAACTAAAGATTCAAAAATCAAAACCTACACTAACCTAATTTCGGGATCGGTTGCCCAAGTTCAACTGAGGAAAACAATATCCTGATGCCTAACCGGTATCAAAATGCCACTCCAGGTCAGCCCCTTTTACTCGGCACAAATGCGCAAGACTCACCCACCTTTTGCCAAATTTTGATGATGGGAGCCGCCGCCTTTCTGTACTAATCTTGACTTTAAGCTGATGCTTAAAGTACAAGATCAGTTGGGAAGAGGTGAACTTCTCGTCCAAATCACGACTCTCATAACCCCTAGTAAGCAACAGAACACATAAGTGTTCAGCCTTCGTCAATTGCGGCACCACATTGCTACAAACAGAACTGGCTTCAAGGACAAAAAACTTTCCTGCAGCATGCGAACCATGAGGCCCTCAACAAACTTGCACAACGGCTTTTACCGTCCTGCAGTGAAAGGCGTGACCAATGGTCTCGACTTCCCCCAATACAACGACGGCAGTTTGAATATTTCTCAAGCCTGCTGAACAAAGTCTCTTGGCGACCCAGGGGCCCCACGAATCACCAGCCAGGTGAGTGATGCCTCATCGTTATTGACGCATTTCAACCCAGGTGCTCAAGGCCATATCGAGCGAGGTTCCTGCTTCGTAAGACCGAGCTTGTCAATCAAATCATCCTGAACTAACTAACACTAGATACAATGCCCTACGAGACAACGCTTGGACGTTGGAGAGACCATCCGAAGCCCGTAACAGGAGTTTCAGAGCACGACGACATTCGCGGTAGAAGGAGCATTCGGTTCGGGGTGTACGGCCAGCCTCCTCGCACGAGTGCACACTTCTCAGTGATGGTAAATGTTTACGGACATCTTCCTTCCAGAAGGCGCTCTCCTCATCCGATCCGCGACATATTCGGTCTAGAAAATTGATGCGAAGCATATATTGACGAATCTCAATGCTAGGCATACCCAAACCGCCCTCAGATGGATGAAGGCAACAGATCTCGCGAGATACCATAGGGGCCTTGTCTCTCCACAAGAAAGAGAACAAGGTCCGAACTAATAAAATTAGTCTGGCATACGGGGTGGAAGTACAGAGAGTCGGTAAAGGAGAATCGGATAGATGTATGAAACACATACTTCTGCCATTCCCTTCAGGGAAAGTCTCCTCCGAGACCACAGATTAACCGTGATCTCGGCCTTCCCTTGTACCTCCGACCAATTCATTTCCAACTGGAGATCAGGACCGAACCAGAACGCCGAGTATCTTCATCCGTCCCGTCAGAAAAGGTCCGGGAGGAGAAACTCCCTTCCACGCGCCCAACCGCAAGCCAACAGACTTATCGCGGTTGATCTTTGTCACCATCTTACCCACTGATTTCTTTGCTGACTTCATTAATCTCGGCTCTGCTCGACACAAGAACCGAAACGTCGTCAGCATAGGCAGAATACCTGGCTGAGGTGGAAGCCCCAGGCAGGGAAATTCCGCGCAGAACCGGATTCGCCTTTAACTTGCGAAGGAAGGTTCCAACGCAAGAACGTAAAAGCAAAGGCGAAAGCGGACAACCTTGACGAATGGAGCGAGACAATACGAAGGGCTTCGATCTTACCCCATTCACTTTCCACCAGCGCACCGGGGGACACATACAAAAGTCGGATCCAGGAGCGAAAGTCGGCTCCGAAACCGGCCGCCGAAAGGACAGCCTCCAGAAATCGATGGTCAATCCTATCGAAGGCCTTGGACTGATCTAAATTAATCAGCGCGGCTTCACTGTCGACTTGTTCTAAGATCAAGCGTACCATATGAAGGTTATCCTGAATAGTCCTGTCCCTTCACAGCACAAGTCTGTTCAGAGCCAATCAGACTAGACAGGACAAGCTGCAAACGGTTGGCTAAGAACTTCGCCAAAATCTTTAACTCAGTGTTTAACATGGTTAAAGGGCGAAAATTCCTAACTCATCCCCCACCGTTCTTGTTCTTACGCAGCAACAATCACACCCCTGGTGAAGCGTTGAGGTATAGATCCCAGAACTTCATCCAGTGTCCTAAAAATCAGTTCCATCAGTCCATTCTGAAAAAACGGGCGACTGCCTCAACAGTAACAAATACGTAAAAAGACCAATCTAGTCATTAAAATTTATCATAAGGAAACCTATTACTTTTAAAATGTATTCCTTTTTTTCCGAACTATGATACGGGAACAGAAACCCACTTGCTTATCCGGCAAAATATAATATATATATATATATATATATATATATATATATATTTTATATATATATAATTCAGCGGCCATATTCGTCACGGAAGAAACGTTTGCGGGTTAGCCCTAACTTTTAACATTTACATTTGATCTCTTCATTGATAACCAAATGAAAATAAAAATGTAAGGCTTTTTCACCAAAATATTTAAATTTACTGTCCGATCAACGAATATTACTATTGAAAAGTGACAGCTAATTCTGGATCTAGATTGAAATTTGACGTTTAATAAAAACGGCAGCAAACGTTTGTTAATTTTATATATATTATAATGTATTTTTAGTTTGGGCGTTTAGAAATTAATTTCCCGTTTCAGTTTTTTCATATATCTATAATCATGAATGCAGGGTTGAAATGGAATTTCTTGCAGGAACAAATAATTTGCAAAAATCAGTTATATATATATATATATATATATATATATATATATATATATATATATGGGCATTTACGCGGACGACGGACAATTTATGATGCCTCAAAACAAATCTAGTGTCGAAAATTGGACACCGTAAGTCTCTACATCGAGAGTTTGTGAACTGGGTCAGGGTAGCTGGCAAACTTTAACGCCTCAAAAAAAACTGCCCTCCATTATTCATCCAAGTAGCATGCTACCCCATTATAATGTTCAGACGGAACCTATCGACAAGATCTTCTTTAAGATAAAGTCTCCATTAACTGGTTTGATCTCTCGATCGAACAAATCTGTTTTCAAATCTACAAATACCATCTATACGATCTATATTGCTGTCACAAGGACGGTAATCCAGTGCCCCTGTTTTAAAATAAAAGGTTCCTGACGAGAATGATCGCAATGTTATTAGCCCTGATCTGTCGAAACTCGTCTGCAGGTCGCTCTATCATGGTTCCCTGTCGCATCCCGAATGACTTTTTTACAAACCTTTAATCTTTTATAAACAATTAGATGCAAAGCTGGTTCCCGGACTTCAGTAATTTAAGTTGTACTAGGCAGCCCTCAAAGACCTGCTCACCCTAGAAAATAGAGAAACCGTTAAGCGAACCCCAATATCTTCATTATATTCACGTCTCATGAGAAGAACTCCCTCCCGGGTCTGTTTCAAAAGCAATAATTCACAATTGAGGCGTTTGAAGGTAATGTCAATCGACGGTCTCGAGATTAGGATCTTTATCCGTCTGGACATTTTTCCTCTAATAACCAGAGAGCCATTCCTTCAACTCCGATTACCCCTTTGTTTTAGTGGCTTCTCGCATTGCTTGGGGGAAACGAAATATATATATATATATATATATATATATTTCAGTCTTGATGATATCGTCTTGGGAGAAAATGCCGATAATGGAGGAAACTGTCAATTTTGCAAGCCTCTATAGACCAAACGGAGAAAAATAAAAATGATGGACCCTTAAAAATAATAAAAAAAATTAAATTTTCCTTGTTTCTCATATTCTGAACAAGTTCAAAATGAAGGTTTATTTTAAATATACAATTGAGAAGGTTCCAGATTGACCAAATGTGTATTTTCTCAAGCTGATGTGAAAGTGAGAAACATCAACTGAATAATGGCTCTTTGGGCGTTTGGGAAATTTGGGGGTTCTTCTTTTTTTCATATATCCCCAAATCCAATTCCATTACAAGTATTAAATCTTTTTAATCCAAACACAATGTATTGATCATATCGATCTTACATCTGCTATTTTCCTCATGTTTTGATTTGAGTTGATTGTCTCGAACAAATACCTCTTCGGGGATTATAAATGCATGCTAATGGTGCGGGCTATTTTTTTTTCCTGTGATCCTATTCTTCCTTCGCATTTTGTTTAATTCAGGGCTGATTTCACCGCTAGGAGTATTTATGGCTGTTGGACCCATATTTCAAATGGTATATTAACTCCCCTCTAAGGGATACTCTATTGAAATGGATTTCAGACATTCCTTTCACGCTAAGTGGAATGAGAGAACATAAAGAAAGAAGGTCAGCATGATCCGGAGGATGCTTCAGAACATTTCTTTCAAGAAAATCTTTTGGATGGGAACTATCAATATATATCAAATTTTTATAAGTAGTTAAATTAATTTCTAGTGCGGAAGAACATGTATTCTTTATATATATACGGTTATCTTATCGCTGTTTATCTAATTTATTGAAAAGTTTCCTTTACTCGTTTTTGTATATTAATGTTTTTTCGTTTCATTATTTTAAATCTTCGACTAGTTTCGGCCAGGATTGCCATCATCAGGAAAAAAACTATTTTTCTTGTTGTAAAAGGAACTGGGGCTGAATAATGTCTTTAGTTTTCATTTGATTTTTTAAATTTTTATCCTAAATTTTGTCAGGTTTTGGTTAAACAGTTTCCACTAAGTTGTTATTCATTCTAAATGCTGGATGGATTCATGCTGTTCTGTATTCCCCCTGTCATTGTGACCACATTTATAGGTTCCTGGAAAGGGATGTGCCTGTGATAAGTGTGTTTTTTATTTAGTTGGGAATGATGAGCATGATGTGTGGGAGTGTATATATTAGTATGAGATGTGTTATACATATATATATATATATATATATATATATATATATATATATATAAAATTGGTATATGTGTGTGTGTGTGTGATTGTGGGCCTGACTGTGTGTGTGTGTGTTCTCTGGACAGGAATAAGATCTGGCGAAAGAAACCTGAATTTACTTTTTTTTTTTCGTGAAGTTCGAAAAAAAAAAAAAAGATAAATATCATTTTGCAAAGGAAGTTTAAAAGACACATTAAAATTAAAAACAGGCATAAGCAAAAGAAAATGAAAAAAATTTAATAATAAAAGAATCTTCTGGAAAAAAACTGAGAAAATCCTAATCCTTTTTTCTTAAGACATTTAAAAGAAAAAAAAAAAAAAAAATTTTTCAAAAAATAATAATCAATTAGAAAAATGAAAAAACGTAAGTTCTTATAAAGACTCTTTTAAAAGAACAAAATTAAAAATAATGAAATAATCTGACATTAAGAGGTCTATGTAGTAACAATAAAGGACGAGAATTGCCACACCATTTCATAAAATCAAAAAAGAGGAAAGTATGTATGTGAAAAGTGAAGGAGGCAAAATAATTTTAATTGAAATGAAAAAGGGACAACAATCAGTCTTCAAAGAAACAAAGAAACTGCAGAAAACTGGAAAGAAAGAAAATCAAAGAAATGAAAAAAAAAGAAACCTTATAATAAACGTAGCCAACAAATTTAAAGGGAAATTCAAGTGCGTAAGTGGTGCAAGTAAACCATTACATTTACTGTAGTGATAAATAATTAAAAAAATCGAATTTAATTCTAAATTAAACAATCAAGATAATCCTCTTAAAAAAAAAATTTTGTATTAAAACAAATTATATAAAGTTTATTTTATAATTTATTTCATAAACCAAATGTGTTTTTTATTTGTTGAGTCATTTAATTTTCTTTTGGAAATCGAAACCAAAAAAATTCAATACGGATATGTTGAAAAGATCGAATGATAAATATTCAAAAAATTAACATATTGTAAAATTTACATTAATATAATAAATATAAAAACCGACAAAACAGGATTCAATATCTGAATTGGAAAAACTGAATCCATTACGGAAAATAAGAATGAAAATTGATATTCTCTACAAATGAACGATTACGGTATAGGATTTGTAACAATTTTATGTGAAAACTAATACGCATAAACTTAAAAAAATACAGACATCGTATATATATATATATAAAAAACAAAATATATATATATTATATATACATGGTTGTGCCTGCAGACTGTAATATATCTTATATTATTTAAAAAAACTATTCAAATTTAATTAATTTTTTTTAAATCTACAAAATATGGCACGTGAAGAAAATTCTAAGTTGGAGCCCTTTTTTGATTTTTTTTTATTGTAATAGAAAATTCCAGTGATCCCTATTAGCCCAAGCATTAAAGAGGGTGTCTGACTGTTCAGGAATTACAATCAAATCAGGAAACTTTATCTATGTAAAAATAATAATGTTTATGGGTTTAATAATAATTTTTTCTTAAAAAATATAGTAAAAGATATCATTCCAACATTAGGTCAGAGGAATTACAGAAATAAATTAATAGATTTAGAAATTTTGAAATAAAAGGATGAAAATACAACATTAAAAAATGAAGGATAATTTAAGAACCTTTTTTTTTACTACAGGTTGTACGTCTGGTAGTTAAAATACTGAGTTCTTTTTAAAAAAAAAAACAATATCATTTCATAAACAATTGGCTGTCCCATGTGGTGCAATACAGCTTTAATGTCCTTAACTGGACCATAGCTGAAATTAAGCGAATGGACATAAAAACGAGAATAATTCTCACTTGCTACCGCATGCATCATCCCAAAGCTGATGTTGATCGTCTGTATGTGCCCAGATCCGAAGGAGGCAGAGGATTAGTTCAACTAGAACTGTCCTACAAAACTACAACAATTGGCCTCCAAAGATATTTGGAAACTACAGAAGACTGGATGATGGTATGCGTCAAGGAACATGAAAAAGTAGTAAGCGTCTTTATTCCGTAATAAAAGAAGCCAACAAATTCAAAATGGAGTTTCAAATGGGCGTAGAGATGCAAGTACAGCACAATACACCGGCTGAAACTGCAAAATACTTAAAAAAAGCAAAAGACAAATGCAACCGACCAGATACAGAAACGATGGCAAGATAAACCGCTTCATGGCCAATACTCTGCCCGTACCAAACAAGCTGACGTAGACAAAACCCGTACCCATCAGTGGCTACGTAGTGCAGGTTTAAAATTGAAACTGAAGGTTTTATCCTTGCTGCACAGGACCAATGCTTGTTAACTAGAAATTATCAAGCACATATACTAAAATATTGTGTTAGCCCAAAATGCAGATTCTGTGATAAATATCCAGAAACGATTGATCATCTTGTATCAGGTTGCACGATATTGGCACCCACTTAATATAAAACCCGGCATGACAGAGTGGGCCAATATCTGCACTGGAAAATCTGTAACTTCTACGGGAAAGAAACTGAAAGAAACTGGTATGAACACCACCCAGACCCGGTTACGGAGATAGGACCTGTTACAATTCTATGGGACTACACAATACACACTGACAGAACAATCAAAGCCAACCGCCCAGATATTGTTATTAAAGACCACAAATAAAAAAAGTGCCTCCTTATTGATATGGCAGTCCCTGCTGACTGCAATGTATCTTTGAAGATATTCAAAAAGCTGTCAAAATACAAGGACCTTGAAATAGAAATCTCAAAAATGTGGCACATGGGAATATCAACAATCCCTGTTGTAGTTGGAGCCCTAGGACTGGTTGAAAAAAGATTCCAGTAGACTAATTGAAGGGATTCCTGGAAGTCCATGCCTCAAAGAGATACAAAAAATTGTTCTGACAAGTACAGCCCCACACTTTACGAAGGGCTTTATCTATGTATTTTTTTTTTTTTTTTTTTTTTTGTCAGTGGAAAGTGTCATGATGCCATTTCTAACCTTAGGTCCCTGGGCGGGACCCGGAAAGAAATGTGTAAACGCCAGAAATCAAAGAAATAAAATAATAATAATAATAATAATAATAATAATAAAAATAATAAAAATGACTTTAATAATACATTAAAAAATGAATTTGTAGAACAATATTCCAGTTATAAAAATATAATAAAATTTTAAAAAAATTAAAAAATTCAGAATATAAATGATTAAAAAAAAAAAAAAATTAACATTACAAAAATTAAAAAAAAAAAAATCAAAACCAAAAAATAAAATAAAGAGAAAAAAAAAAATAATTTTTAATAAATATCATTAAATTTTTTATTAAAATTTAATTTAAATTATTGAATAAAAAATTTAAAATAAAAAAGCAAAAATGTAAAAATTATGAAAAAATCCATATATCAAAATGAAAATAGAAAATATAATAAAAAAAATAATATCAAACAAAAAAATTTTTAAAAATTATTAAATTTAAAAATGAAAAACCTTTTTAATTTTTTTTTTATTTTTTGAGATTAATATTTTTAAAAAATTTTGAATTTAAATTAAAAAAATTTATTACATTCTTAAAAAATGTGAATACAGAATAGAAATAAAAATACTGATTTTTCAAAAAATAAAGAAAAGTTAGAATAAAAAATTTTAATGGAAAACAAAGAAAAATGATATTTCAATAATTTTACAAATTAAATGATAATATTTATTTAATATAATGAAATAAATATAAAAAAATTATAACAATTTATTATAATTTTTTGAATTTTATTTAAAATATTACGAAAACAAAATAAAAAAAATTAATAATATATCAATAAAATTAAAATTAAAAATGATTTAAAATATAAAAAAAAAAAAAATTGTAAAAAATAAAAAAAAAAGATTACAATATTTTAAAAACGATTTAAAAAAATAAAAGAAATAAATTGAAATTTTACAATTTAGTTTAAAAATAAATTGTAATATATTTATAGATAATTAAAGAAAAAATTTTAAAAGATTAAAAATTAAATAAAATTAATTTCTAAATAAATTTTGCAATATATTTTAAAAAACAAAATTTGTTTTAAAAGAAATAATAATCAAATTTTCAAAAAAAATTTTTTTAAAAAATTCGAAATAGGAAAAAAAGAATTTAAATATATTTTATTTTTTTAAAAAAAATTATTTAAAAAATGTTTTTTTAAAATTTGCAAAAATGTTTGCAGCAATAAAAAATATTTTAAAAAAAATAAAAAAATAAAAAAAAAAGAAATTTTTTTTCAAAATATTTTAAATTTATTTTCATTTTTCACTAAATTTCATTTAAATAAAAAAAAAATTTAAAATGCAAATTAAAAAAAAAAAAAAATAAAATTTAAATCAAAAATGTTAATATCTTTTTTAAAAAAAAAAAAAAAATTTAAATAAAAATTGAACAAAAAAATAAATATAAATATAGAATGTAAAAAAATATTTTATTATTTCTTTTAAAAATA